CATAAATATGGAAATAACTTACTTACTTTTACTTGATTTTAATCTGTTAAAACAGATGCATTTGTTCATTTTGTTCATTGCTGATAATAGATTTTCTAGCCCACTAAATATTTTGATACTCCAGTATGGCTGTTATATATAGTGATTTTTTTTATCTGGAAGCGTCATGAAATTTTGAAAATTTATTTTCATTAAAATTTTGAAAATATATTTAAAAGTTAACTATTGTGAAGTGAACAAAAGAGTAATAACAATTGTACACATTGCTAATGGCACTTACAATCAACTTTGTTTTCCAGAAAGACTCCAAAATATGCAAAAATAACCACGTGCTAGTCATAGAGTAGAAATATGGTGATCAATATTGCAAAATGAGTCATTAATAGTACTTTGTTATGAATGTAAGTTGTTTCTTGGACAATTTTGCTTTTCTTTATATATGCAGCTTTCCACCTATATGTAATTGTTTCAAAGAGGAATTGATATTTGATTTGACTAAAACTGCTTAAAAATTATCAAATTAAGCAAAAACAACCCTTGAAATTAAAAAGGCATAACTTTGTTTCTTTTGCAAATTTCACCAGTTTTTCACAAGTTTTATTTATATTTATTCATAAAGAAACATTCTGATTGCTATTAAATGTACAAAAGCATTATATGAGAATTTCATATGAATGCTAATTGATACTTTTGATTTCTACAAAGGTTTGTGTTAATAGCCTGATAACTAATACAGTGTGACTCGGTCATTTTTAACTGCAATGGGAATATACATTTGGTTCCTTTACATACATTTTATTGGCACAGCAAATATCTGTAATTTATGAAGCACTGAGGAAAATATATATTTGTTTTATTTGGACCGGCAATAAAAACTTCCCATTCAATCAAATCTATTGCACTTGATTAACGGCGTTATGTTTATGGTGTTTTACATGTGTGATTATTTATTTATAAATTATGTTTCGAATTGTTCCAGGAACAAATGTGCCACTCATGAGTGAGATTGCTTTTTGGATCAAGGTTAAAGGTTAAGACCACTTTTGCTTAATATAAAAAGATTGTTTTCAGTAAATAGTCTTAAAATGTGTTTTCTTAATGGAACGTGGTGTATAGCAGTCTTAAGTGAAACTTGTTTTGGGTTGTTTTTGTGCACCATAAGGTCATGGTTAAAGCCATTGTTTCTAAAAATAGAAAATCAGGTTTCTGTCTGAACGATAGTTGAGAATATGATTTTATATAACACTTTGTGTACATGAAGCAACGAAAAGACATTGTAATTGCTTCATGCCCCCTCCCTCGGGTCAAAATCACTGTAACTAATAGACAATCGGTTTCCTGTCACTAACTAGATATTTCAGCGAAACTTGGTTTATTGCAAGCTTATGTTCAATATTTGCTTGGATTTGCTTTTTGGACATCTTAGGCCTGGGTAAAGATCAATGTTACTATAAAAATAATTTGTTCCCGTTCAATAACAAGAGTTTAGAATAAGATATTTCATTGAAACTTAGTATTTAGTAAGCCTTTATGAAGATATCTCTTGGGATTCCTTGTGAATCCCTTAGTGTCAAGGTCATGGTCAATTTTACTTGAAAAAAACATAGGTTTCCGGTCAATAAATTGAGTTTGGAAAGACATATTTCAATGAAATTTGGTGTATAGGAATGTATGTGAAGATCTGTCTTTGGATTACTATTGGTCCACTAGGGTTATGGTTAAGGTACTTTTACTAAAAATAGAAAATCAATTTGCAGTATATAGTTAGTCTATAGCTAGATTTAGGAATGAGATATTTATCTTAAAGTTAATATCCCTGTCCTGTTAATATCCCTGTCCTGTTTTTGTTTGGGGTCCGCCTGGGCTCCTTGCCACTGGTTCTTGTTGCTGGGTCATATGGGGGTTGCGTTCATTGAACGTGATCTTGTTTATCATATTTTGTTGTAAAGCATTCCTATTGAAAGCCCCAGGTTGGTTTGCTTTTGTGCCCACTAGGATCAAGTTCAGTCACTGTTATTAAAAAAAAGAAAATGAGAAAGTAGATTTAGGAGTGAGATATTTTTTTTCAAAAGGAAAATTCGATAATCAAGCTTTTTTGAAGACCTTGCATCTCGCTTTTAATTGTTTAAGACCCCTCTCCAAAGGATTATGGTCAATATAATATTAAATAACCTCTCTGCTGTAATAACAAAATGCTTCCCTAATTCTTTTTTTTTTTCATTTTTATCATTTATTATTGATAATACCTTCTAATTTTGTGGTAATACCTTGTTTTATGTTTAACGATCGAGTCAAGTTCCTATGTCATAGCTGGAGCCAGAAGGGGAACGCTACGCATATAATTAATTACAATAATATAATACTCATATATTTCTAAATTCCTTTGGTAAAGAGTGTACCTGGTACCTTATATCATATGTAAGTGTTTATTTAAAACTTTTGTTCACTGTCTTTATGTGACTAAGTTCTAAGATAATTTTATATCGAAATCAATCCACTCACATATCATAGGCCTGTGTTCGTTAATTCACATATCATAGGCCTGTGTTCGTTAATTTACATTTTACAATATTAGAAAGTTTAATAAAAATACTTTTTGAATCATCTTTCTTCACACCTTACGTCTGTAGCTCCTTACACAATATTTTGTATTTTGTCCCAGAAAACATGGTCAATAGTGTCAATGCTAGTATTACAAAAGTCGCACAAATTTATGCTAGACAGTTTGTATTTGAATAGAAATGTTTTAATTGGTATGATTCTCTGGAGGAATTTATACTGGACATTTCTCAATGGGACATCTAATGTGCTCTTTAAATGCAGTTGATATATCTTTATCAGTCAATATGCTTTTGTATATAATCGTCTTCCCATTCAATTATTTTTTTCCCTTGACATTTTGCATTTTTCATTTGCATATCATATCAAACTTTATTCATAGATTTTGATTGAAGTACATTTTGTATAAATGGTTGAAGGGAAACATTGATTATTGAAGTAATTCTCAGATTGTTGATAAGGGTGTCATATTCCCTATCAGCATATAAAGTTTTTAAAAAAAACTGTATTACTCATGCCATATAAATATCTAAAATCATCAAATTGATAAAACTTACTTGTTCTATAATAATATTATAATTGTTCTATGAATATAATTACTTTTAAATTAATAAACAAATTTTCATGAAATATAAGATTACCATCTATTTTTATATCTCAGTTTTTCCATGCAATATCTTTATAGGAGACAATTTTGTTCAACATGTACCTTTTTTATTTCAAACCATGCGTTTAGCATAGTATTCATAAAACGTTTTTGTGGGAATAGATGATCAACATCTTGTTATGAAATAGCACATTCGAACACCCATTTCAATCCTTTAAAAAATCATTTTTTGACAAATAATATCATTAAGCTATGGTTATCTTTATTTAATTATCTTTTAACCCAACTTGCTTTTATAGATTTTAGAAAGTATGAAATGTCTGTAAATTTTAGTCCTCCATTCTAAATACGCTGCTTAATTTTTTTTTTAATTTTTAGCTTGCTTTCCTTTTCCAAACGAAATGAAATACATGTATTGCATTTTCAATTTCCAATCAGAGTTTAAAAGTTAAAATTTAATAAACTAATTTGTTTCCAGTTAGTTTAACTTTTTGGATCTTTGGTTTTGGCATAATGGATTAAATTGCCTGTCTTTTAAGTGTAGTAAGATTACCTATTACAAAATAATGTATTGATTTTATGCAGTCTTCTTTTATGCATCCCAAAATATTTCATAAAACTTATCTGTCAAAAAATCAGAGTCTGGGCTTTTTATTGTTTTTCGTTTAGCATTTCTTTTAAAGCTATATTTATTCGATGTGCATTAAATTCCTTCACGGCTGTCCTTTTCTTTCGTAAAAGCTTAAAGCATATTATAAATACTTTATCCTTCATGTAAAGACTCAATCAAAAACACTTTCATGTAATTCTGTTGCGACTAATGCTTCCAAGGGATTACATTTCATGCATATTTTCATACTTAAGAACAGCAGGTATCAATTGTTGTAAAAGTCACCCCACACTTTTCTTCAATGTTGTTTTATGTTTCTGGTCCTTCGAAATCATTGATTACAACACTTCTTTATGTTGAAAATTAAGTATCGCTTAAGCCGGTGCTAGGGGACGTGAGGGAACTTTAATCCTTCATAAACAGACTCAATGAAACCGAGTTTACAGATTTCATGTTATTATGTTGCGAGTGATAATTCCGAGAATTCACTTTCTCAGCAGTTTCTATACTTTATATCAGCAAGTGCTGTGTGGCAGCAGTCAAACGTTGTCCCGTACTTTACTTAAGTGCTGTTATATTTTTTCTTGTTCTTTGGGGTTATTATTTACAAAATATGTAAGTGTTTAAAATTAAGTACCACTTTCATTATCCCATTCATACACCACTGGGATCGTTTAAACCGATTTTAGGCGCGCTCAAAGATGTCGTTGCAAGCAATTATGAATTTCTTTCAATAGGGTAAGTCCAACTAACCGAACTACGAGTTGATTCATTGTACTTTTTTGTGCATTTACAATATCTCCCCTCTATGAAGCGCTTTTGCAACACGAACAAAAAGAACCACTGCTTTGGAAGTTGGAATAATTTGACTACCAGAAGGTTATGAAGCAGACGAGTCACATAATTTTTAAAACAGTTCTTATCATGGATCTTAATGATCATTGGTTTTTGTTACTTTTTGATATAACAAATGTTTTATTTTTGAAAGTGATATGATAATTATTAAAGATACTATCACTTGTATTAGTTACTCATACTGACGTTTCCATAAAAAAGAAAAAAAAGTTTATCCAAAAGCCCATACAATTCCAAACAAATTACATTTTTAATCCATTGCAAAGACCGAAGACGCCATCACAAAACATAACTGACGAATTATTCTTGTGCCTTTATAGATTTACGCTTGTCCGTAAATATTTTGCCTTGAGTCATGAAACTTTACAGGAATAGTACCCAGCTTGTGAAGTTGTGCACCTGGTGTTTCGCTCGTGATTTATTTGTTTTGTCAGAATTATTGCCCTTGACATAGTGAAAATTTGCAACTTTTAATTTGTGTCGTGTGTAGCTCAAAAAGTATTTTACGTAGGGCAATGAGACTTTACAGGAAGGTTGATCAGCATGTGTTGTTGTATGCAGTATTTCTAGAGTAATTGACCTTGACTAAGTAAAAACCATTCAAAAATGTTGTGTTATTTGTTCCTTGAGTGCTTGAGATAGAATAAACCAACTTTACAGGAATACTGATCAACATCCATGTGAAGTTGTGCACCTAGGGTTTTACATGCAGCTTTGTTAGAGTTATTGCCCTTGACTTTGTATAAATTTACAATTTTCAACTTCATGCATAACTCAAAAGGTTTTTGACCCGTAAGCCTGAAAGTTTACAAGAGTGTTGGTCAGCATGTGTATTTATGCACCTTGGGGTTTGCTTATTCGTGTCCTTTAATTAGTAAATGATTTTGACTTTACAACTTGTAGCACACATGTAGCCTAAACAAATATTTGACTAGAGTCATAAGATTGACAAAACAACAGAGTGTGGGAGCACCCGTGTCCTATGGCTACATTTTAAGTTTCGAACTCAAAGTTTTCTCTTCAATTCATCTTTACTCTCCTGTATATAAATTTTGGATTATCAATGTCGGTTTAGATTATAGCAGAATTTATCAGCAATTTTATCACTCTGAATTTAATTCTAGATTTAATGAAATATTACTTCAGAAATTAAAGTTAAATGAAATCAAAATTTGTATAAGAATTTCATAAATGATAACATTTGTCGATAAAAAATTCCAAACACCGACGGAAATGCCAAAATACGCCTAAAATCAAACAAACAAAAGAAAAGTAGTAAAAATCACAAGTAGTCTTAAATTACAATTACAATTGACAAACCGTCGTTAGCGGTAATATAAGTATTTCATTCATATGTAAAAGAACATGGCAATGATAGCATAAATAGCCAAGAGTACAAGTTGTGTGCATATGATTGCACGCGCTAGTGTGTGTGTTTTATTTTCACATGGCATGAGATTAAGAGATTGTTAACGTGATTTGTAGTCTCATTATTCTGAACAAAATTTAATAGTCAATAAGGATATTTTTAAAGCAGTGTAAATGAATAATGAAATGAAATATTATAAAACAAAACAGAACTTAAATATCTGTAAAACATAACTAGAAAGTGTAAGAACTTAAAATCTGATAATCTTTAGAAGAAAGTTTGTATTCGGAAATACTTAAGATCAATTAAAAAAGACGCGTAAAACATTTCAGAAAGACCCTTTCTATTATTTTACTTATTCCAGAATGGCCAATAAGATTCCCAATTTCAGTTTGTAACATTCAAAGGCTACTTTTATCCAATTTCTCCATATAAACCTTTAAATAAATCGATTTTAGACTGACTTCGAGAATGAATATGCTTTGCAAAATCTGGTCTGCTGTTTAACATCAACAAGTTTAAGGACCTGGTCATGTTTTCGCATCATTACAGTCGTTTTGCAAGTAGTTTAAAATTGGTTATCATCAAGTTTTTTTTCTTTTGATTATACTTTTCGGAAAATGTTTATCAATGGTACAAAAATATTTTGCTGAGTTTTATTGACTGTTAAAATTTAAAAAAGTATCTTAATCGATTTTAATTAGCCTATTTCTTATGTCTGTTAAATCTTTAACAATTTCAAGTTTATGATTGCTTTGTCATTTCATTAAATTCAGGAAATTAATTTCATGCCATTTCAGGAAATCCGATCAACTGTAACTGCTGTTTAATAAAATGATCGAATGTAAAGCAAATGTTCACATTTCGCTGGTTGTATTACAATTTGTGGTTTGCATGTCAGTCTATTTATATTTGTACGCAAACATTTTTAATAGAATATATAAATCCATGGACTGGGATGATGAAGAAAACCCTCAGGTAAGACATTACTTTTTACAATCATTTTTCTGTAAGAATACATTTGATTTCGGTATTTGATTCGATATAAGATATTAAGATTTACACAAGCAGGTTATAATGATTTTTTTGTTATTACTGCTTGATTTACGTAGGTATTAAACAGATATGGACAGACTAACATTAGCTAGTAGTACTGGTGTTATTGTGTATTTGTTTAATTTCATTAATTGACCAGCTATCTGCTTTAATCACTGCCCATTAAAAGGTTGATTAGGTACCAAAAGAATGACTTTCGACATATAAACCGCACTGTTTATTTCCAATGTAAAAAGTACTGTCCGCGCTTATGTCCGTACAATTCATATATTCGGAATTCATTTGTTCAAATCAACGGGTTTTAAGTGTTGCATGGCGTTATTCCTTTTCCTTCTGATGTTTTTATTAAATCATTTTAATGTATTGTATTTGTATAATGCATGCCATACTGAATTTCTCGTTAATTTGGATCATTTCAATGTATATTTAAGGCGGTTTGGAAAGATAAGTTTGGGGCTGATTTTTTACATCCCCTAGTAATCGAACAGTTTTGCAAAGATATAGAAGAAGGAGTTTTGGCCAAACGATCAAAAACAGCAACTGCTTCAGCTGCAACTAATCCACCTAGTAACAACAGCAAATCTGAGGTTGATGAATGTACTCATAAAAAATTGACACTGCTAGAAAAGTTTAAGTGTGATATAATTGCAAATAACTCTGAACCATTGCTTACACTTTTTACTACATGGAGTGATAGTCCGGAAAAATATTTAGTTCATAACTTAACGTTACATAATTGGGTGATGTTGCGTCCATTCATAATACCCGTGGTATTTACAAATGAGACTTTAGTCGCTAAAGAGTGTGCGAGCAAAAGGATTCGAGACAATGCATATAAGTACTGCAGCTGCAGAAGGTATTCCGGTTTTAAAATATATGTACAGAGATGTGATTAAAAATTATAAGTCTACGTTCTACGCGTACAGTAATGGAGACATTTTGTATACTGAAACGCTTATTGACACTTTACTACTGATGAAATATTCTACAATTAACTTGCACAAGCCTGCATTAATCGTTGGTCAAAGAAGTAACGTTTACAACGTCACTGAATTTGAAGGGTCTACTTGGGGCAGTATCACAAGATTAGCGGAGGAACGCGGCAAACTTTTCACGTTTTGGGCAGAAGATTATTTTATTACGACACGATCATTTCCATGGCATGAAATCGCTGAAGTTGTGATAGGACGTAGGGCATACGATAACTGGTTAGTGTATTATGCTAGAAAATCAAAATATAATGTGATAGATGCAACAAAAACAATATTGGCTGTTCATCAGACGACAAAAGCAGGTAATCATGAAGGTCATGGTAAAACAAATAAGGATTTTAATCATCACTTACTTGTGAAACTTTATAAGCGTGTTAAATATAACGCAGGAATTACAGCATGCATAGAAAAATATACAAATTACAATAACTGTGTTATAGCTGTTAAGTCGAGGAAAGTCAGCAAATCATGCGCTATTTCATTTTAATTTTTCAAATCAGTCATTATGAGATGAAGAAGGAATATTTGTAAGTCACCCGATAATTTGGTTCTGGTAGTTTAGCAAGCATGGTAAACCATTTCTCTAGGCCTACTTGAATGCCGATGGTGTCATTACGTAAGGCAAAATGTATCAGTTCCTTTTTGTTCTGTATCTATAATGCCCATTACTTGACACCTACTTAGAATAGAACATTTACAGACAGTGAATCATTCAGATTATTAGAGAAGAAGTTATGTTAGTGTTTGCAGAGTAATATTTGGTTATTGTTAAAATCTTTATTCAATCGTTTCTTTTTTAAACAAATTAATAGAAAGAGGTTTTACCACACACACATATGTTATAATGTTACGTATCTCACGATTTCCTCTCTTCAAAGACATAATTTATAAAAGTTATTTTTTACAATGGACCAAGAGTATTATTAACCTTAGCATTCACTTTTTACTCAATTCTCTCTAGATCTGAATTTTTACACTGAATATTGTGCATTTGAATAAGATAAAGACTGCACAATTAACAACCTTCAAACGCATATAATTCAGTCTTTGATTTTCATTGATTCCCTGGTTTTTTTATACTAATGTATTATCTTTAGAGTGTATGTCACTTAACAGAAATGTTTGCCCAAATCTTAACAATATCACTTTAATAAAAGTTGAAATCTTAAAATATTGTGCTTTCTCAACGTTTCGGAATCCAAGACAGCTCCTAACATGGCAGCATGCATTAATTATACATTCTTATCATGTAAATTTTGTAGCAAATATTATGCCATTTCGATAAAAGGATGATTAACCATTTTAGAAATTATAACCGAATTACGAGTGTTCAAATATCTATACATCTAAAAATGTAAACTTTGATTCTTCAAATGTTTCGTTGAATGTTTAATTTTGTTCCATTAAAGTACATGTATTTAACTCCCAACAAATAAACAGTTCAAGTCTCCAGAGCCAATATATTAAATGTATTTTCATTGTCTTTTTAGTATGTAAATGGACATCTTTAAAATCCGAATAACTAATGCTTAGAAATCGCTATAAAAAAGCTCACATTACATGAGCATTTGTTTGCTGGTTATAAAAAAAACACATTTCATTCTGTAGGAAATGCATACATGCGAGTGTTTCAAAAATCATAATCTATACCTTAACTTGAGAAATTACGTAACATACCATGACATTACCGAGAAAGCTGACGATGCGACAAGTTAACGGGCAATGATGCCAATCAACTGAAGCGAAACTTTATTCCCTGCGGTCTGGAGACCGCAGGGTATTGGTACGCGTTTTACTTTTGAGGCATGGAGGAGCACGTGACCTGTTTTCGGTACATGGAGGAGCATGTGATCTGTAAACCGTACATGATTGGTTGAATTGACCTTTTCGAAACCTGGCTAAGTACCGTTGGCCGGTACGTTACGGATTTACCTCTAGGGAATAGTCAGAGTGACACCTAATTAAAGAACAAAAAAAAGCTATTACGTGATATTTCTAAATTTCTATAATTATTTTACCGTTTAAGGTGGAAAAAAACTTGAATGATGTGTTTGAAAAATTATCAATGTTTCTTTAATATGTATCTCAAATTTTACAAAACAATAAATTGTTTTATACTGAAAATCTACAAAAAAATTAAATAGTTCGTAGTGGCATCTTACCAGAAAATAAATAGAGATATTTTCTGGGAAAAAACTTGTGTGTTCACTTTTTTTGCTCGGAATATTCATAAAATGGTTAGGTCCTATTTAAAAATCATTTTCTTAAAAAAGAAAATAATTGTTTTATGTTTCCGACCTTTTCGTCCGGTCCATCAACCCGATCCACCAAAGTGTTTTCAAAAGACGCTTCTTCTATATTGGGATGCGATTATTGTAAAACTTTTTACCCCCTTTTTTGAAAAATTCCCGGGGCTTTTTATTTACCCCCCCCCCCAAAAAAAAATTGCGGGAAAATAGTTAAATAAAATTCCCTTTAAATATCTTTAAAATTTTTCCCCGCAGGAAAACCATTTTATTTGTTTTTTATTAATACAGAAAAGAAAATTTAGCCCAGTGACAGTAATTTTAAAAAAATTATTTTAATTTTTGGATAAAAAATTTTAAAAACTGACATAAAATTTTTTTTGGAAAACTTTGTAACTTATTTCTAAGGGCAAATAAAACTCTTTTTTTTTCTCTCAAAAAAAGGGGTTTTACAAGTTTAAAGTTTTTTCCCAACCTGATAATATTGCGGTTTTTTCCCCGCGAGTGTGGATGCTGGAAAAATGTTTTTTTGGGAAAGGGGTTCCCAAAAACCTTTTCCTTATTTTTTTCCGAATTTTTTGTACTGTTTTAAAAAACATTTTATTTAGTTTATTTTTTGGGCCCTTTTTTAAAAACCCATATGGGGCCCCTTTTTCAAAAATAGACCCCTAAAACGTTCACTTTTAGATTTTCTTCCCTTTGTAGAGCTCCCCCAAGGGATCTCTTTTGGGGCGTTTTTTCAATAAAACAGTGACCCAAAAATCTAATGAGGATTTCGTATTTTTCGGGGGTTTAAAGTTCCCTTTTAAAAATTTTGGTTCCGCTCAATTCCTAAGCACAAAAATTAAAAAAAATTTTCTTTTGAATTTTTTTAATGACGTTTGGATTCCCCAGTATAAAAAACCCTATTGTGAAAAGGGTTAAAAATTTTTTTCAAAAAATTTTAAGGTTTTTTTTTTAAATTCGTTCTTGCCCAAAACAATTTGTCTTTTCCTGTGCCCATTCTCTCCTTTGGAAAAAATGGGACATTGTGGTTGTTAATTCTACATTTTTTTTCTCTATTTGTTTTCTGTCTGGCTGTTTTTGTTGTCAGTCCCTGTTTTAATTCTAAATGAAAATTATATAAATATGTTGATTGAAGTCTATCATAATCATTGGCATTAACGAGGCAGATTAAACTCCTGTTGTTTTAACATGTTATTATGTGTTTCATTAATACAAGAAGAATATTAATATTACAGTTTCGGGTTTTTTTTTATCATAGCATAATGAATAAAAATGATATTTAAAATGTTGAGAAATATTTTGATATACATGAATGTTATAATATCACTTAATGACTTCCTTGCAGGTGTCGGAAACATAAAGAGGTTACATGTCAATGTACCAGTCAACAACTTCCAGAATCAGTTCCTTGACGTACACAATCAACCTGTAGTTAACCTTATAAGGAAACCGGGTGGGTCAACCTTTGACCTGACCGTAGACAGACGATTTGTTTTCAAACCTCCTATACGCAAGGCGCCATTTTCTTCTGTCGGCGAACCTTGGCCATTACCGCTGTATTACAGGTATGAACGAGACGGCCGTACTAAATATTAACAAGTCAACATTCAAAATAGAGGCGCTCAAACAAAACCTGCGACATCCTTTACCGAAGCAATACAAAGATATAAAAAAACATTATAAATAATTACAATCATAGAAGAGCAATATGATTTCACTTACCAATTTTAATGAGAATGCGTTCAATGTCCATAAGAAACAAAGAGGAAGCTAAATACAATCACGTGACAAAGATGGCCGACCTGGAGATTTACGTCGCAGATGAGGAATGTGGGTATCCGCATATTGATATGAAGGAATCTTGTAAGTTATGAGTTTCAAATTTTAATGTTTTATTTACCAAACATTTCATTTTCAAATGTGTATCATGACTGCAGTTGGCTTCTGTAAATATAAAACTTAATAGATAGGATGGCAAATTTAAAGATCGCTTGAAAATGTTGCAGGCTGGCTCAGCCTGTTCATGGACGGCAGTGGTATAGCAATCTTACGCTATCTGTTGAATAAAAATTGGTAATTGCAGGTCAGTAAAGTTTGGCTTAAAATGTGGGATGTAGTTATAAAATGAATGTTTCACGTTGATTTGAAACTGTATTTTCCTCTAAAATGTTTTATTTATTTTTTTTTATCAAAATCAAGTAATGGTATTAATATTTCCCTTTCGGTTTTTTAACGGCTAATTTACAGAAAGATAAAGATGGGCTATAGATATATTTTTTGGATTAATTTTGTATTCTTTTTGGGGGAAAAAACTAGTTAAAACCCAAATGACCTAATTGATAAAAACAAATTGTTGACAAACGTTTTGGATCTTTTAATATAAAAAACAGAGAAAAGAAAAAGGTTCAAGGGGGTTTTGAGGGGGTGGATTGGATTTAACTGTTTAAG